CCCCAAAACCCCAAAACCCCAAAACCCCAAAACCCCTTTTGAGGAGGTCAAGTTGAGGTTAAGTTATAAATTTCTGTCATTTCTCCTTGACCACTTCAAAATGCTTAAGGCTATGAGACTTAGCTGCTGATCGTTTCGGAATTGTCTGTGTATCATATTCCTCATTATCCATAACAAGACTTTTATATGGAAGAGATTCATTTGTGTCTATCTGGATGCTATTCTTTCGTATTTTCGGGAGAGAAAATTGATTTGGTCTATGCATAAAATACGATATTACTTTATTGAGTTATTCTCATTATGCGCTTCATGCCAGGGGTTGAATACTAGGTATTTGCTAAACTTGTCTTTCCGTTTGCTGACAGTGGAAAAGTCTATAGTTGTCACTCCGAGCATACTATAATCCGCCATACTACTCCTCTTTGAGAATATAGAGTTCTTTAGGTGCTTGAGCCTGTTGATAGAATTCACAGATCGAGTCAGATCTCCTTTGTCAGAAGTTCTTAAGGAATATTGTGGCTGAGGAGTACTTTCAAGCTTCATCTTTCGCATGACTATTTTCCTTGAGGAATAGTCATGAGATTTCCCAGATAAGGTATCATCCCCACTGGTGGAATAAGGCCCATGGCAAAGATTCTGGATACTGTTCTTTGGAGGCAAGCCCATATTTGTTTTTATCCGGAGCCTAAGGATAAGTGTGAAACTTACTTTTGGTTTCCTCTGATTTTGAGATCCCTCTCTGAGATATAGCCAATGTTGATCGGTGAAATGTTAGCCTGGAGTCTGGGGTTAGGATAAATATTACTTTATTTTCTTCTTGTTCTTATTGGTTCTGGTCAGAGGCGATTCTTTGAGATTAATCAGCTGCTGTTTTTGAATTACTGCAATTTGGCCCTTTCTAAGGAGTTTGAAAGGCATCTTACTTTTTGAAACGGATTCTTTGACTGAACATTTGGTTAATCATTTCGGCCTGTGATAGCTTCTTATTTGGTGCATATTTATCATTAAAGTTATTAACACTGTTTATGGCATTTCCATTACCAGAATTTTTGAATTCATCGGTAGCATCATAGCTAGGAGACATTTCATCGATGAAAGAGCTGTTGTAACTATCAGATGATAAAGGATCTATGGTATTAATCCTGACAACCCGGGGCTCATCTTTTTCTTTCTTATATGCATTTATGATAAAATCATTGTTGAATTTAACTTCTGCAGGAGACTCTTCAGAAGTGTTTGTATCAATATTAGCCATCTTATTTTCTCTGAATAGCACTTTTCTGTCTTATTTTTGATTTTTCCCTTGATTTTCTCATTTTCACTTCAATTTGAGGCCAATTTTTCTTTTCAACATCTAAACCCTTCTTTTTATTAACCCCCACTCCTTCATGGCCATTTTCCCTCTTAATCCTCTGTTTCTTGGTCTTATGGGACACTATCTTCGGCACTGATTTCCTATTAACTTTCTTTCTACACCTTCTCCCTCCAATTTCCCCATCTCTATACTCACAATAATCTCTAAAATCCCCTTCTGAGCCTATCTATCCTATCTCCCTTACTCTTTCTGCTTGACCTTGACTTTAACTGCAACTATTTTATGAATGGAGATTAGAGTCAAGGGCATTTTGGGTGCAGTTCATTCCAATTTATTATTTTGAGAAAGGGGTTTTGGGGTTTTGGGGTTTTGGGG